CTTTTGCACTCCTCTTTTACCCTGAGCAAGAGGCTCTTAAGGTCCTCTTCACTTTCTGCCATTAGAGTGGTATCGTCTGCATATCTGAGGTTGTTGATCTTTTCCCCAGCAATCTTAATTCCCGCCTGTGATTCATCCAGGCCAGCATTTCGCATGATGTACTCTGCATATATATTAAATAAGCAAGGTAACAATATACATCCTTGTCATACTCCTTTCACTCCTAGAACGTCCCCCAAAGCTGTGTAAGAATCACAACAAAACCCCAAAAACAATATTGCCAGGGTTCACAACCACCAGGTGGTGCCAGGAGAGCTCCCACTATTACAATTCTCTCCAGGCAACCAAGATCCGTTCCCTTTGGAGAAAATGGCTGCTCTGGAAGGTGGACTCTATGGTACCGTACCCCACAGAGGTCCCTCCCCTCCCATGATCGCAGGCTCCATTTCTAAAATGGCCAGGTATTTCTCAACCCAGAGCTGGCAACCCTAAATACTGTGCATTTTAAAAACCCATTCCGTCCAGAACATCACCTAGTGACAAAATCCAGGCCATTCTCCCAGTCTTAGATTAACCTAATTGGCCAAAAGAAAGAGTTTTTACGAAGAAAGTTGATTCACTCGAAATGTGGTGTTGGAGAACAGTTTTACAGATACTGTGGACTGCCAAAAAGAAAAGAAGTGAGTTCTAGATCAAATCAAGCCTGAACTCTACCCTAGAAGCTAAAACAACTAAACTGGACAGCCAGCAGCAGGGCAGAGGCTGAGGCCTTCCCCTAATGTTGCCTCCTGGCTCTGGGATTCAGAGGATTAGTGCCTCTGAATGTGGAGGTTCCCCTCAGCCACCCTGGCTGGTAGCCATTGATAGACATATCCTCCATGAATCTATCTAATCCCCTTTTCAAGCTGTTTATTCCTGTGGCCATCGCTATATTCTCTGGCAGCGAATTCCACATTTTAATCACTCTCTGTGTAAAGTAGTATTTCCTTTTGTCAGTTCAGAACCTACTGCTCATCGGCTTCATTGGACGCCCTTAAGTTCTAGGAGAGGGAGAAAATAAATACCTCTTTGTCAACTCTCTCCATACTTATTGATATTACTTTCTGCATTGACAAATTAAAACAATAAAGTGTATATATATATATGGGAAAGATTGAAGGTCAAAGAAGACGGGAACGGCAAAGGATGAGATGGTTAGACAGTGTCATAGATGCAACGAACATGAAATTGAGCCAACTTCAGAGGACGGCGGAAGACAGGAAGGCCTGGCGTGATCTTGTCCATGGGGTTGCGAAGAGTCGGACTCGACTGTGCAACTGAACAACAACAAACAAAACCCTCTCTCCATACCATGCATCATTTTAGAAACTTCGATCATGTTACCCCCTTAGTCAACTGATCTCTGCCATCTGGAAAGCAGTTGTAATTCTGAGTGATCTCCAGCCCTCACCTGGAGATTGGACACGTTTAGAATTTTGGAGGCAAAAGCCAATCAAGTCGCATATGCAAACGACCTCTGTGTTCCGAGGCAGAGGCCAATGAGGCTGCATATGCAAATAACCTCTGTGTTCTGACTGGCTATGAGGGGGAGAGGAACAGCAAAATGTTTAGACTGTTGGAGCACCATTCAGCTTTTATTTATAAGGGAGATGATATTTATATGACTTGTTGCTTTTATTTTTCTGTAAGCCGCCCTGAACCGGCCTTGGCTGGGAGGGCAGCAGTGTTCCCTCTAAGCTGAGTCAGTGTGAGCTAGCTCACAGTTTATTAGCCTCCAGCTCACAATTTTTTTTGTCTTAGCTCAGGAGGATGGCTCCAGAGCAAACTAATTTATGCAGCAGCCAAATCGCTCGCTCACAACTTTAGTGCCGGTAGCTCATCAAGT